GCTATTTTCTTCAATATTTTTTTGGTTAAATTTGTTAACTTCATTGTATGGTTAATATATCCTTACATATTATCAACTTTTTGAAAAAATCTTTGAAAAAATGGTATGTCACAATAACAAAAGAAATTGAAGGAAAAAACACACCGCTAAATTGTACACAAAATACCTGAAAATAATTTACAAAACACTATACGTGAAAATCAAATTAACAGTCCGCTTAAGAGAAACGCAAACGACTATAAATTTCTTAGACATGAGCAGATACATAACGTTTTAAATGCGCGATCAGAATTTAGCTAATAAATTTTTTATTAAAATAAAGTCAAAATGTAGACATGATTATGTTAAATCTTAAGTTAGTGTATTAGTAACATATCAGAAAGTAATACTAGCTACTTTCCTCTCTTACGCGAGAATTTTTAGTGTATTAGTATACGGTTCAGTAGATCAAATGTAATAATATAATCAGTTAGAATTTGAAAAAAAATATATTAGCCATCAATTATCATTTGATATTTCCATTGGAATGGTCTAAGAATTATGTAGAGAGAGAAGATTAAAACAGTAAAATTTAAGAGATTTTTTAATGTATCAAAAACTCAAGAACACGACCCTCTACATAACATATGTATATCATTTGGTATGTCTATAGATTTGGCTTATAAAAATGGGAGGTACTATATATCTAGTAATTCACAATTTGAGCTAAAGATATATCAATAAACAAGCGTGGTTAGATAGTGTAGAATCCAATCTGAATATCACCATGCATGCTAGAAAACGATTAGTGGATGCACCATATTTTAGTGGGTGACATTTGATTATTTTGTGGTTGGTGGCTGTAAATCTTCTAATTTTATAAAAGATTATTATAATTAATTGAATAAAATGATTTTAAAGCCCCACTAGTTTGATACCATGTGAACTACATTGCAAAAGATGAACTTGGTACACAGGAAGAGAGAAACAAGAGAGATTGTATTGATTGATTAGAGAAAATGTATACAAATACAATCCCTTATATAGTCATATATCCCAATTACAATGATAACCTTCTAACTATATTAACAAACTCAACCACTAGAATAATGTCATGTGGCATTTCTGTTATATCAGTTATTAATAGTGGTCTCCATCAACTCCAACCAATGGTGAATGACTAACTAGCAAGCCGTGGATTGCAATGATAGTTAAGTTTTTTTTTTGTTTTCATGTTACTGTGTTTCGCTTCCCCTCTTCTTAGGCCTTCCACAATAATTTAAGCGGGTTTGATTCGTATATACATGAATCATGCACCTTAAATTTGATTCCTATAACGCAATAAGCCGAAAAAAGTGAGTGTAGTATCACTATATTAAACTTATTTAGAAATTAAACTCTTAAAAATAGGCCGAAAATTTGAATATACCATTGTATTAGACTCATGAGTTCAATATATTAAACTCATGAGTATATATTAAACTCACACTAGTATAGCAGAAATATTATAAATATCAAATTCAAGTTGCCCGATTTCTATATTGGTATCACTTTCAAACTACTACTGTGGAAGGCCTTACAAACGTTAAATTTGATAGAAATAAGTTAAATCCACTAATTGTGAGACCAACTTCCAAACCTACTATTGCTTTTCCTTATTCTCTCTCTCTCTCTTACAAAGCAGATCATTTATGTACAGGCATCAAACTCATAAGTTGGATATTGAACTAAAAATATTAGAATAAATCTCATATAACTCAAATTTTCTGGCACAACGAAGAAATTTGATTTCTATAAAATTAGAATCATACTCAATTGTCCCGCCTAATATGAAAGACCAATATAAATTAGTGTAAAATATTGTTTATAATTAAAAAAATGGGTTGTCAAACATTATCCAAAATGCATGTTAATTGCCTCGGATATCAATCCCAAAGGTTAGCTTGCTTGTAGTGTCATGTCAAACCAAATCCATCACATACAAGGTCTTAAATGCCGGTATTATCGGTTTTTTGCGTTACCGATATTTTAATAGGTATCCAAATGGTTTTCGTCAAAATATCGCGATATTACCGATAATATCGCGATATTTTGGATATGTGCAAATTGGAGAAGAATGTCGGAGCTTCTACAGCTCCGGCCGACTGTAAAAGCACCCTAGACTCCGATCTAGGTATCAAAATGAAATAGAAGACGAGATGAATATTTGTATAACTTCCGTTTTGCAGGGCCTTGATGCGGTGGCAGAGATGGTGAAGAGGGAGAAGGTGAGGAGAGCGATGAGGTGGTGTCGCCTTCGTTGATGTGGTGTGGAAGTGAGGGTGTGGGTTGGTTCACAGGGAGAAGGAGAGAGTGCAGAGAAAGAGAGCTAAGGTAGAGATGAGAGAGTGAGGGAAAAGAGAGAACTGAGAGAAAAGAGAGACCGCATTTGTTGATGTGGTGTGGAAGTGAGGGTGTGGGTTGGTTCACGGGGGAGAAGGAGAGAGTGCAGAGAGAGAGAGAGCACGGGTAGAGATGAAAGAGTGAGGGAAAAGAGAGAACTGAGAAAAAAGAGAGACCAGGGACACAAAAGCAAGGTGGCCCCCCTTGGCTCACCTATTAAGACCCAAAAATAATTTTAAAAGCAAGATAAACTCAAACTTAGTGAAAATACAATTTAAATTGGGGATGGGTGTAACAATCTACCCCTCTTAAAAGAATTTCGTCCCCGAAATTTAAAATCACTTACTAAACTGAAATACTCGAAAATAGGAAGAAGAATATATGTATAAGAGAGAAATCAAGTCCAAATAATTACATCATATTAAAATTTGATTAATTTTTTTTCAGTTACATATATTATATATGATAAATTTCTATTTAAAATAAAGTCCAAATAATTACATCATATTAAAATTTGATTAATTTCTTTTCAAGTATCTACTTTTGAACTACTCACCACGTTCACTCTATGTGGTATTAAGTCACTCATGTATCTTACCATGCAATGCATAAAGTGTAAAATATTGTCCTAATTCATTATATATAAATGATTATGGTGTGTTTAAACTTCTTTTATTAATTATTACATATTTTCTACACTCACAATGTTTGCCAACTCGCTATATAATCAACTTAAATCAGTTAATCTATCATGCAATGCATTTCCTTCCAATTTTTTGTGATAAACTAATAGATAATTGACTAAATAAACATTCTGCAAAGTTTCAATAAAAATTTCCAAGTTTTTCTTACAATTTCCGTGGTTTCCATATTATTTTTATCGATATCGATAATATTCCGATATTTCCATCGATATTTCCGTGTTTTTAGACTACCGATATTTCCGATATCATCGATATTTAATACCTTGATCACATATCTATGTTGACTTATTTTCAAAAGATATGATTAATTATGAAGAAATTTTTTAGGTTTTAGGTTTTAATTATTAAAAAGTATAAGTATGCAAACTATATAACAAAGATAAACAACCGATTTAAGAGAAATGTTAAGGGAATTCTCTTAAAACACCTCATGTTTTTTACATAATGTTTTATAATGTTGGTGTGAAAATTGACGTTAAACTGTGAGGTGGCAGAGAATCCATAAAGAATTTCACTTTTAAGAGAGTTCTCTTAACATTACTCTCGACTTAATTAGAGATTTGATTACAACAACATCAAAACAAATTTAATTGACATCCTGAAAGTATTTCACAACAAAGTTCGTGCCGAATGAGGATCCTCTCCAGATTCTCTTTGTGAGAATCTTGGGAATCCTCAAATTGTACCTGTTCATCGTACATCGTGCGGTTAGAAATCATTTTAAATACTTTTATTTAGAATTAAACATGAACAATACTTGACGAAAATTGACCGCACGATGTACAATGAACGAACACGATTTGAGGATCCCCGGAATCCTCACAAAGAGTATCCTTGTGGAGCAAGTGCCCTCCTCAACAAATTTAAGACCACTTTTATAAATAGTTAAAAGGTCATTTAATAACAATCGATATCGAATGATTATCAAACGAAAAATTAAAAATTAAAAATGAAATGGTTATTAAACGATTCTTGAGGAAATACTATAGGAAATACTATGAGCAAGTAGTACTAAATTGTCAAAAAAAAAAAAAAAAAAAAACATTACTACTACACCGATGCCAAAAGTATGCCAAACTTTTAATATGGTGGTCATTGTTTTGATTTAGTTAAAGTATGTTCATTTTTTACTCAGATGAAAATATGTTTGATATTCATTTATAAAATACACTAACTGAACGCCATAGTGTTATCTGGTTGCAAATACTAACAAGTGTTGCTCTGTAATCATAATTTCTCTCTATCCGGACTTTGAATATGTAATTTCCTTTCTTGGGGCACCACTAAGATAATTACTATTGATAAAGCACGTAGACTAAATCCACGGACAAATACATTCAGCTATTTTCTTCAACATTTTTGTGGTTAAATTTGTTAACTTCATTGTATGGTTAATATATCCTTACATATTATCAACTTTTTGTACACAAAATACCCGAAAATAATTCACTCAAAATTATACGTGAAAATCAAAATAATAGTCAGCTTAAGAGAGATGCAAAACATTATAATTTCTTAGACATAAGCAGATACACGTTTTAAATGTGTGGTCAGAATTTACTTAATAAATTTTTGATTAAAATAAAGTCAAAATGTAGACATGATTATGTTAAATCTTAGTTAGTGTATTAGTAACATATCAAAGAGTAACGCTATCTACTTTCCTCTCTTACGCGAGATTTTTTAGTGTATTAGTATACAGTTTGATATATCAAGCGTAATAATATACTCAGTTAAAATTAAAAAAAAAAAACATTTCCATTTATTGTATTATGATACTTAATATACTGAATTATATTTCAAACACACTGAAAAAATTATCCGTTCTTATCTTCTCCAAAAGGAGTCAACCACTAAAGACAAAAACGCCTCGTAGGCACTTACGAAATCAAACAAAGACGAAGGTCATCAACAAAATAATAATTTCATAGACGCGACGCAGAGGATCGCAGCCTCTGTATTGGCAACTCAGAGGAGTTCTCATCCATTTGTGTCACCTTTTTTGTTCGATTTTTCGGCCGCCGAGCAATTCCCAATTCGCTACTCGCGCTTTAGCATCTCATCACTTTCTCTCTCTAAAGAAATGTACTTTCTCTCTCCTCTTTTAATTTTGCATTGAATTTTTTGCCCTTTTAATTCTCGGTACAGATTTTCCAGCCATTTTCTATGCAATCGATCCCTTTTAGGGATTCAATTCCCCCATTTGGATTCACCCTTCAATCCCTTATATTCTCAGCTTCTTCTGAGAAGAGAGAGAATTCAGTAACAGAAAAGAAGAAGAAGAAGAAAAGCTCAGATTTTTTGGGTTTGCGCAAATTTAGATTAGATGGGTGACGTTGGAGAGATTGGACCTGATATTAGGTAAGATTTCCGAATAATTTTTTTGGGTTTCAATTTTTTTTGAGTTTTTGGTGTGCCCAGTAATTCAGTTTTATTGGGGTTTCTGTAAATTTCACTGTTTTATTAATTTCATAATTTTTTATCATGATTTTGATCATTGGTCTCTATGAATTGTTTGCATGTTGATCAAAATTTGTTGTATTTAACTTTATGGGGAATTGGGGATGTGGGTTTTTTTTTATTTTTTATTGTTCTCTATGTGAGATTTTGGATTATATAATGTTAGTTTCATTTGTTGTAATCTAATTGCTGTAGGAATTGTTAGAGGTAAATCATAGAAAAAGATGGGTTTTTTTTTTTGGAGAAATATTGGATTGTTATCATTTCCCAAGTTCTGTTTGGCTGCTGAGAAAGTGGGGGGGGGGGATAGAAGAGAAAATGTCCACTTTACCAAGACTAATACAGCTGATTGGCGTTGATTGCTAAAGAATCAATTTTTCGAATCAATTTCTTGCCATCAAGTTTCTCAGCAGCTGAGCACAGTGGGTTTTTGTAGTTTTGCTGATTGGAGCAATTTTTTTTTTATTGCTAATGACAGTTCGGATATAGAAGAAGACTTGAGGTGCGATAATATTGCGGAGAAAGATGTCAGTGACGAAGAGATTGAAGCGGAAGATTTGGAGAGGCGAATGTGGAAGGATCGAATTAAACTCAAAAGGCTTAAAGAAAGACAGAAACTTGAAGCTCAACAAGCTGCTGAAAAGCAGAAGCCCAAGCAGACCACTGATCAGGCTAGGAGAAAGAAAATGTCAAGAGCACAAGATGGGATTCTTAAGTATATGTTGAAGCTGATGGAAGTGTGCAAAGCTCGTGGTTTTGTGTATGGTATCATTCCTGAGAAGGGCAAGCCAGTGAGCGGTGCTTCAGATAACATCAGGGCTTGGTGGAAAGAAAAGGTGAAGTTCGATAAGAATGGTCCTGCAGCCATAGCCAAGCATGAAGCGGAGTGTCTTGCCATGAGTGATGCAGATAATAATCGAAATGGGAATTCTCAAAGCATCCTCCAAGATCTACAAGATGCAACTCTTGGTTCTCTATTGTCTTCTTTGATGCAACACTGTGACCCCCCTCAAAGGAAGTATCCATTAGAAAAGGGAGTTCCACCACCTTGGTGGCCAACAGGAAATGAAGATTGGTGGGTGAAACTAGGGTTAGCCCATGGTCAGATTCCTCCTTATAAGAAGCCACACGACCTAAAGAAGATGTGGAAAGTTGGAGTGTTAACGGCTGTGATAAAGCATATGTCACCTGATATTGCAAAGATAAGGAGGCATGTCCGCCAGTCAAAATGCTTACAGGATAAGATGACAGCAAAGGAAAGTGCAATTTGGTTAGGGGTTTTAAGCCGAGAAGAATCCCTCATTCGGCAGCCTAGTAGTGATAATGGGACATCTGGCATTACTGAGATGCCACAAAGTGGCCATGGCGAAAAGCAAGGTGCTGCTAGCAGTAATAGTGACTATGATGTTGATGGTACTGATGATGGGGTAGGCTCTGTTTCTTCATCCAAAGATGATAGGAGGAATCAGGTGATGGATGTGGATCCATCAAGCAATCTACACAATAATGCTCGTAATAATGTCCAAGATAAAGAGCAAGGTGAAAAGAAACCCAGGAGAAAAAGGGCACGTGTCAGAGCAAGCCCTGTCAAACAACGTCCTGCACCATCTCACAATGAGCATCTTCATGTTCCAACAAGAGGTGCATTGCCTGATATAAACCACACTGATGTACAGATGATTGGACTTCAGGTTCATGAAAATCAACAGGAAAATGGTGCCATTACAACTTTGCGGCCGCTGGAGAATGATCTTGATGTCCAAGCACAAAGACCAGCGCCAGAGTTTAACTACCCTGGTGTACCTTCTGGCAATGTAATTACGACACAGGGCATGCATGTTGGTGGAACACCGTTGCTTTATCATGGGGTGCGAGATGCTGACATGCATCATGGAGATACATTTAACCAGCATCATGGAGATACATTTAACCTCTATAACCCATCAACACAATATCCCCCAAGTCATGACCGGCAGCCGCCTCAGATTGTAATGAATGAACCGCAGATTATACCAGCAGATGGAGTCCATGTACCAGTACATAGAAATGGAAGTGAAATTGCTGGAGGAGATTTGCCAAATTTTGTTCAGGACACATTTCAGAGTGAGCAAGACAGAACTATCAATGCTAACTTTGGGTCTCCAATTGATAGCCTGTCGTTAGATTATGGATTATTCAACAGCCCATTCAACTTTGGAATTGACGGCACCGGTTCATTAGATGACCTTGAACTCGATGAAATGATGGAGTACTTTGCAGCATAGTCTAATAGATCCTATATTCCGCATAGCTTAGATTGTAAGTCATTTTTCCTTCTTATATTCTACCATATTTATAGCTTGTGTTCAGAATTTGATCAAGTGATTCTTATTTCTCAATGTTTCTCATGGCATCTTGTGAACAACTAGTCTTAATAATTTGATCAAGAAAGTGTTTCTCACCTTGTCTATAACTTGTGAATAACTAATCTTATTGTTAATTATTATTTTCGTTTTAGGGACTGCAAAAATGTTGCATTCATTCCCCACCTGGCAATAACTCTGTTGCTGTTTGTGGGACAAATTCTCATCTGGGTTTTCTAATTTGTGTATTCCGAGACTTTAAGTTATGATTTTTTTTTTTCGTAGCTCATAATTTTCGAACCAGAGTGACCGGCATGATGTGATTCTGCTCTATGGTTTTCTCCAATTATCTTCAATAAGAATGAAACTGTCAGTGTAAATGAGTTGATCTGTTAGGCTGGATAAATGACTAAGTTATGATGATTTCTTCAGTTGTTTGCACGACATGACTTTTAATACAGCTATGCTCGTAGTTACCGTCCACATATTTTGATGCTCGTATTTTGTAACTGTGAGTGTGCTGCATCCATTTGATTAGTTTTTCCTGCAATTTTTGTTTCACTTTCGTTTGGCGGATTGCTTTATTCACAAAATGACTGCTTTCTTATTAGTCCTTGCTCTTAGTAAGGTAGAAATGGTATATGCTATTTGTTGTAGTACCTCTGTCAAAAGGAATTGAGCCTAGTTTCCCAAAAAAAAAACCAGAGGATCGAAGTTAGAAACGAATGACATTCTTAGAATTAGGATCGTAAGAAGGTAAGCAGACCAAACAATAGCATGTTAAAATACTTATCCCTTTAGTAGGACGCCGTTTTTAAGTTCAGTTGTTTTCCTGTAATTAGGATGTTCTACGCTTACTTATGGAGAAAAACTTGTGCAGGGATAGGTGGACCACGTCATTTGTACGCCACCTCTCACAAGTCACAACCAAACGGAACCCCCTGCATAATGGTCCCACCTGACTCCACTCCAGTCTCAAGGGCCCAGTTTTATTATGAGAGTGCCCTATGGTTAACGTGATCATGCATCTGTTGAAGACTTTCTCCAACTTATGTGAAAACTATGCCGGCTAAGACCTGATCCATCGAAAGCAGCCACGAATCAAATGAATGTCTCGGACAGTTTTACCGTTGATTGATGATTCGAGCTTCAGCAGTTGGATTCCAAACCTAAAATCCAGGCTGATTTGAATTGTTGAAATCTGTTAGATGAGAATATTCTTCCCTTGTTCATTGATTTGGTTGGTTGTCTTGATGAGAGAGGAGGATGAAGGTTAATATTGGAAAGTCCACCCCCTCGGTAGGATTTTGTTTCAACATTTAATGTTTCCTTAATCAGACAGGATACAAGGTCTCCCAGCAGATCTGTGTCTGTCTGTTTCACAACTCCATGGTTGACTTCCAATTGACTTTGACTAATGACAACTCTTTCTTTTTTTCTGTTTCTTTTTTCTTCTGAAGTTGGTTAGAAATTATTTATATTTTGGGATGTTTTGTGTATCTGGGATGAGTTTGTGCAAATCCAATTAATGCTTCATTGTGAAATCAACTCAACGTTAGATGAAAATCATGAAATGCGGCACCCTCGGACGTTCTTTTTGTTTCATTCATCACGTGATTTGTGAAATATGGAGAAAGACATGTGCACTCGGTCACAAAGCAAATCCTCATACAAGTACAATTATTTGTCATTTTAATAGGAAAAATGAAGATTGTTAAAAGGATTAAAGCAACTTAACTCAGCCTTGGTCATATCATTTTACAAAGTTAGATTGCGTCTCGTGAATTTGAATGCAATTTCGCTCTATGTATATGCACAAGTCCCGCTCCTTATGACCTGGTGAGAGTGTGACCAGTTACCACTCCTTATGACATTGTGACCATGAAGCTACCGCGATCAAGCTGATCTCTTGAAGTTTTTATCCTCAACCTACACAAAGCTCATCGATAATTTCGTTGTTCCAACTTCCGAGGTCATATGTGTAATTAAAAGTGGAAGAAACAAGACCAGTGTGATCGCCTGGGCCCCACTGGAATTCATTGGACGAAAGCAGCCCTCACACTCTCTGTCTCTCTCTGTCTCTCTCCTCTCTGTCTCTCTAAGTGGCAATGCTTTTTACGACGCCTGTCTTGTGGCAGACAGCCTCAGAGGCTCAGACGCAGACCCAGTCCTTTCCTTAATCGTGCCCTGCTCCCTCCAATACTACCCCGACACGTGTCCTTCCTCCCTTCACCGGGCGCCGCCACACCCTCCGTACGAGGATGTACAGACCGACGCGTGTTCTACTGGTTTTCATTACGAGCGCCAGCCCAAAAGTGCCTGGATTGTGAAAAGACGACCATGCGCTCTTCCATTTTTCCATCTTTGTTTTGTGATTGCAATGTGGTCTTTAATATTTGAAAATTGCAAAAAATAACTCTTAAAGTTACAAATTTTTGCAGAGCGATCGATGACCTATGTTTTGACCTTTGAGTGTTGACGCTTGATGAGTCACGTTGGCCATTTGATATCGTATTTGGATTGTTAAGGTTTTTTATTTATTTATTATTGAAATCATTTCGTATTTGATTTCCATATGACATATGTTAATGCACGTGTCGTCGGACTAGATGAAGTCACGCTTATGTAAGAAAAAGAATGAGAGAACGAAATTGCTATGTCTAAAAAATAAAGGTTCATTTGGAAGTTAGATTGATAAAACAACCAATGGTGTCAAGATTGATAATTTTTAGGCTTCGTTTTGTCAATTCCTGAATCCTTACTAAAAGGTACAAAGTCTTATTATCCAAGTGTTAAATTGGTCAGTTTCATCAATCTTTGGATAAAGATAAATTCTTTAGTCCAGATGTCTGTATAAGATGGTATGTAATAAGAGTAAACCCAAATTATAAAGATTTAGGATGATCTCTATTTGCAGAGGAACATACGAGACTGCACAACGAAGTGGTATGATCGTTAGCAACCAAGAACTTTTCGTGTGTAAAAGAAGAATATCATCATAATTTTTTTTATTGAGGGGCGATTTGGACATTTCATCCAAACATTTTTACCAAAATTGCATGTCATCGTCACCCATTTCTTTGCGTTACCAGGCGCTGTCATAATCAGTATTTAAAATGGGCGTCTCGTACCCCTTGCAGAACGTACATTTTTCATCACCACCTTCTCTCTCTTTCTCTCCTCTGCAATTTTCTGGGATCAACAAATCAAATGGGAAAGAGTAAAGCTCACATTTTTGCTGGGATTTCAACCTTCATACTCGTTCTAATGGTGGCTTCAATACCATTTGTCCATTCTTCTCGTAAGCCTCTCTCTCTCTCTCTCCTCTCCTCTCCTCTCCCTCCTTCTCTCTCTCTCTCTCTCTCTCTCTCTCTCTCTCTAACATCTTTTTTTCAGGTCTCCAAGGAAGAACACCAACTATGGCAGGGAAAACAGGCTCAAAGGTAACAAATTTCAAAGTTAAAGTCTTTCGATAATTTCTTTAGAAAAACCCTCCTTTCCCCCCATATGTTCTTGTACACTTCTACAAACCGCATTTTCTCTCTCTAAACTCACACTTTTATTTTCAAAAAAGTGTTATTTTTCCCTTGTTTATATTTATTTTTAATGTTTGTGAAAAGGGGATGCATATCTACGAGGCTGAGAGATTTGGGAAGGGAAGAGAAGACAGAGTTTTCCAAGCTGTGGAGGACATGGCGAGGCAAGTTCCAGGTGGGCCGGACCCTCTCCACCATAACAGCAACCCCCTTGGTCCTTAAATCTCACACACCTCTCTCTCTCTCTCTCTCTCTCTCTCTCTCTCTCTCTCTCTCTCTTGTTTTCTGAGAAAATGTAAGGATTTAAAATGTTGGGTTTCTTTTCTTCTCTAATTTTCTTATACTTTAAGCTAATATATCAGAGGATTAGGGTTTTGTTTCTTCCTTTTGTGGGCTCCCCTTTTTATTTATTTAAATTTAATAAGGTTTATGACTTATGAACTGGTTGGAAACATGGAAAAAAAAAAAGAGCAGAAAATTAGAAGGAATGTTTTTTTGCTAGTGTCACATTTATGGTGATTTTTCTGACTTCTGGATACAAAAACAAATTCAGTTGAGGATGATGATGATGAATTTGATGATGTGGGAAGGTGGGATTTTATGTAACAGTAGCTTAGCTTTTGTTTTGAGCCCAATCATAAGGGAAGGGGGCCAAAATCTTGGGCTGCGCATGGCTTGGGCTTGCTTGAGTTTACGTTTCGATGTTATAATTTCTTCTCGGGAAATGATTTTTGCACATTTTTTGAGTTTTTTTTTCCGGCATATTTCATATTTGATTTTCAGTTTATTCAAGATAAAGGTTAGAAATAATCTGTGTGTGCGGGGAGAGAAAATGAGTGCGAATATTACTTCTATTATCTTTTCTTTCATAAAGTGATATACTAAGTTACTTTAATCTACAAGAAGGTGATTCAAACTCGAGCATGAGGGGACTAACACACTATTATACACACCTGTCTTAAAATACATCTGCTTTTACATTATAAACTTTAATGTTTGAATGAAAGAATCCCCCTTTTTGGGTTAACACTATTCTTCATCACCACTAGTATATGCCCACACACAAAGCGTGTGAAATTTTTTATTTTTTATTTTTTAAATTGGAGAGAGGAAGAGAGTGAGAGAGAACGTGAGAGTGGGAGAGAGGGAGAGGTTTATTTTTACTTTTTATTTATTTTATTTTTTAATTTAAAAAAAAATTAAAAATGTTAAAATCACTTGTAGGTGAGGCTTTAACAAAAAAAAAGCAAATTTTTGTTTTGTAAAATTACAAAAAAAATTAAAAATGTTAAAATCACCTGTAGGTGAGGCTTTAACAAAAAAAAAAGCAAAATTTTGTTTTGTAAAATTACTTTATTGTCCTTAACCATTTTGTTGTGATAGAAGACTAAATAGTATTTTCACTATCTTTTGGTTGACAAAGAGAGTTCTATTAATATGTAGTTTAGCTAAAAGAAAAATTAACAAAAAAAAAAGGTTCAAATATCTTTAAATTTAGGTTTTAGATCGTTGATTACAAGTGTTTAAATACGAATTATAATAGATTCTGCATGGAAAAATATATTTTGGAGAACATGAATATGATAGTTAATTATTATAGTAAGAGAAATAAAAGAAAAACTACCAAAAATGTACAAGACAGTTCTAAATTCTTGCAGGTGCTAGAATGACTACTCACATCCAATAGATTTTCTTTGACTTTGGGCATAGTTCACAATTTATCTTGGCTCATCTCAAATTGTCTCAGCCACTTCATGATCTCATTCGCTTCGTCTTGATCTTTCGAGAACGGTTCGAACTAATAACATGCTTGTTTAGAGCTCGACTTGTTTTCTGAGCACCCTAGAGTTTGCCTCGTTCTGCATGTGTGGACCCCATCTTGTCTTGTGTGCCTGGGTTTGCCTCGCTCTGCATGCGAGGTGTTCGCATCATTTTGCATGCTAAAAGCCCACCATTTGTTTGCGTCCAAGGAGCTTGCGTCGTTTTAGTGTGCACGGAGCCAGCCACGTTTTCTGTGCCCTGGGCTTACCTCAATTTGTGCGACGTACCCCACCTCGTTTTTCTTGCGATGTATCCCACATCGTTTTTCGTGCGATGTATCCCACATCGTTTTTCGTGCGATGTATCCCACCTCGTTTTATGTGCCAGAAACCCATTCCATTTTCTATGAGGGGAGCCCGCCTTGTTTCACATGTCATGGTTCGCCTCGTTCTGTGTGAGCTAAGTTCGTCTTATTTTGTATGCGTCAAGGCCTCCTAACACCCATGTGTTTTGACAAAAATGCAAATATTTTATTTTCGCAAAATATTTTTCTTGAGCATTAAGCTAAACTTTTTAAGGAATTTGAAAGCAATTTTACTATTTATTGAGCAAAAAATATATATTTAGTAGAAGATTTAAGCTGAAAACTAAAAAAATAGGTGGAAAATATAGTAGTAAGGCCCAGAACATTGTCAAGTGGGGTTCTACACTCAAGAATCTCAACTTAATTTTCAAAACTTCACAGTGAGGCCAGGTGAAAATAAATAGATTGAATGGTGATTTATGTATGAATTTACAAAACCGATTGAAAACCATGAACATCCACGTTTTTTGTAAAAAAATGTAAATTTTTTTAATTTTCTTGAAATACTTTCCATCAGCATTAAGGAAACCTATATAATGCATTTCGAAGCGGATTTACGATTTATTGAGCAACAAGAGTATATTTAGTAGATGTGACAGCCCATCTCGAATTAAAATATATTTCATCCTCAAATGTGTGGAAATGATGATTATACCCTCGAGTTGTAGTGACGTGGATGTACGTATATAGTTTCAAATTATTTTTCTAGCTGACGAATTAAATTGTACGCGTTGTCACGTACATACCTTCACCCTCGCCATTTTCTCTCGATCCTTCATTCGTC